TGTTAAATTTTAACTACTATATTAAATAGATTCTAATTACACCAAAAATTAATTTGAAGATATCCTTATTATCTAAAACAAAATTCCCATTTCTATATATACTCACGGTCGGGTCACCTCATTTTGCATGCATATAACAAATTTTTACTTAAAAAAAAAAATCACTAATCCAGAATTACAACCGATATCAATAGTTAAGAATAATGTTGATGTATTAAAAAATTCAAAATTTTTATCCTTACTCTCTCTCTCTCTCTCTCTCTAAGACCAAGAATATATTAATAATATAAGGCTTTCAATACACCCATAACTTACCATATAGGTGTTTTATATATTAAAACAAAGAAGTATAGCTAATGGGAAATTATTAACCTACCTTCCGCTCTGGTATATCTTTTTTGACACTCATTTAATTTAAAAATTAAAATATAATATAAGTAGAGTTAATTTAGTCAAATTCAACATATAATTATATCTTTAAATTTATTTTACTTTAATTTTAAATTAAATCATAATAATTTTTTAATAAATGTGTAAAATTAGATGGTACTCCAATCAATATGCATAATTTATAGCAAAAATTATAATCACATACATACTAATCAAATTAAAACATCTAAATACTAACAATCAAATACTTAAATGAATATCGTAACAAAACTTAAATTTGAGATATAACAATTAATTAAACTTCTTTTCAATATAATCCGCCTAAATATAAGACATTGGTAGGTGACTATAAAGGTAATAACAAGTTCACAAGCGAAGAAAGATACTTCCTAAGCTTTGTCAAATCACTAACTAATCTCATTTGTTGTATCCAGAAGAATAAATAGTATGGTAGGTATAATAATCCCCTTCTCCACCATACCATCCTGCAAATATTAATATTCCAATTAAAACATAATCGAAGCAATTTGAACAAAAAATAAGTGCTACAATCTCAAACACGTAAAGGCCTTTCTTTGAACCCAAGTAAAGCTTTCACTCAAATCATATTTTTCTTGGTCTTCAATCGCTAGAAACAAAAATCAAAGGAACTTGCAGGCTTCGCCGCCGCCGCCGCGCAAGTGCTGCTAACGAAAAAACTGATTTTGCTTCTGAAGTCCACACAGCCACCAAATCAACCCTACAGTTGAATATTGCTGTTGATTTTTTATTTCTCTGTCGCACAATAAAACTTAAATACGTAATACTATACTTCGTCAATTCATTTGCAAGGATGGTCATAGTAATTTAGATTAATTGATTAAAAAAATAATAATCTTAAATTAAAAAAAGTATTTATAATTCAGATGAATTTAGATTCTAAACTAAAGATTATTTTTAGATGACTACAAGTTTTTAATATCAAGACTCACTTTTTATTTAAAATTTTATAATTTAATATAATTTAAATTATAAAATAAATCTAATTTTTTATTTAAAAATTAGGTTAAAATTTTATTTTTGGTATTTTTAGTTTAACAGAAAGTTTCTTTTGAATTCTTCTATTTGAACAAATCTCCTTTTAATTCTTAAAATTTATTAACCAAACAATTTTAATTTATTTGTTATGTTTTACATGTATAACATATTGAATGGTCAAAATTTAAAAGTTTACTTTTCGTCTTTCTACTTTAAGAAAATCTTTTTTTCTTTATATTAAAATTTTCATTATCTAACATAATATTTATGTAAAAAAAATAATGAAAAAAAAATTAATAAAAAAACTTTCTCAAATAAAAGAAACAAAAAATATTTACTAAAATAAAGAGATAAAAATAAAACTCTAATTTAAAAAATTATTATTTTACAATTAGATATCAAAGGGTAAAACAGCAAACTTATTTTCATCCTGATTAATGTTGAAAATAATTTTAGCTGTCTGTAACGTCACGTGGGAGTGAGTAAGAGAGGACTGTAGATCCGGTGCTGCGTCAGCACTGACGTTTACGGTGAGTGTTCAGTTCCGCCGATCTGGTCCTCTCCACGCATCTATTTCTGTCTCCACGTGTCAAATCATTTCAACGTGGCCCACAGATTAAAATAATATAAGTGATGGCGGTGGAAAGCACATGTTACTGTCAGTATAGACACCTGCTGGGTGGGTCCATTCTTATCATCGCGACGCGTATAATGTACAAAAAAAAGAGATTTTGATACAATTTTTTCGTAATACTTTTGGTATATTAATTTTTTTATTTTAATAATACAATAAAAAAATAATCATTTTTTATTTTTTATTTTTTATTTTATAAATTTAAAATTTTTTATTTTTAATAAAAAAATAATTACCGAACTATTTATGTTATGAACTAAAATAATTAATCTTTTTATCTAAGAAATAATTTTTATATAATTTTTTTATATAATTTAATATGTTATTAAAATAATTAATTTTTAAAATTCATATGATATTCGTGATATTAAATATATTTATTTATTTAATAATATATAAAAATTATATTATAAAATAATATAAAAAATTATTCTTATAGTATTTTTTTATTTATATAAAATTTATAATATTAAATATATATTTATTTAATAATACATAAATATTATTAAAAAAATAATACATAAATATTATTAAAAAAATAATATATAAAAAATTATTTTTATAACATCAATGTACATTGTACAATACGTCTTTTTTAAGCTTGTGCATTGCACGCAAGGTAGGGCCCTGTCTGAAAAAGTGGAAATAGCCAAAAGGTGCTTCACTCCTATCATATATTTGGCGGTGTTCCTGTCCGTACATATAAGCATAGTTGGTCGGGACTCGGTGCTCACCCGTGCAAACTCGGGCGTTTATATATTTTTTTTGTTGGGGTGGGATTGGGTCGGTTTCAGTCTGAACCAAGACCGATTAGCCAATTAACTAAAATATCAATTGGGCAATATACACCACCGAATATCAAACCCAAAAAGATCGATTTTTAGTGTTTTGGGTATTTTTTTGGTTTTGGTTTTTTTTCAAACGGTTTCGATATTATCCAAAACATTGGGTTTCTCATTTTTTGGTGTTTACTATTTTGCCTTTCAATCATTAACAAATGCTTTAATTTTGTTCCTAGAGAGTTTTAATATCATGCCAAGGAAAGAAAAAAAAAGAGCTTAGAGTTGCAACAAAATAATGATAAAAAAAGAAAAATTGAAAGAAATTGAAAGAGAAGTAAGAACTAGATCCAATCTCAATACCCAACATAAATACAACTGTCATCCCCTTGAAATAGGACTTGAGAGTAATAAATCACAAGAAAAAAATGGAAGAGAAAGGAGATTAGTTGTAGTGTCGGCAAGAACAAAGGAGAAGCAACAGAGATGGTGAAATGAGAAGGGACACTAGAAAAGTGAGGGGAAATAAAGAAGAAAAAAAAAACCCCCTAAATTGTAAAATAGATCCAAAAGCTTAGATTTAATCAAATGAATCTAATTTAATGACTAAAATAAAATAAACAAAAATAATAAGTTTAAGTTTAATGCCTCGTACTTATAATATTTTGAATTAGTAGATTTAAAAGAATCAAAAAGCAAAAAAATCAAGAAATTCCAAATCCCAATTGGCGGGAGTAATTGTCTGGCAATAAATAAGCTATCGGGACCAGGTTTGTTTGCCCGTCGCTGGGATTGACAACCGTCCAGCCCCATGATGAGTGCTTTCAGCCTTTCATAGGTTTTTTTTCTTAATGTAGGGGGAATTTATATGGTTTTAAGAATTGGGTGGGTCTATTTTGGATAGACCAAGCGATATAGGCTTAGGGACTTATTCTTGGGAGGAGTTAATACTATTCAGCCAAATAAA